GGTTACTACTGAAATCTACAGCTACTGGGAAAACAAAAGAGAGAGACAGAGAGAGAGAAAATGTAACTGGAGCCAGCAGGTGGCATGGTGGTTGAGGTGCTAGACTCCCATATGGCTGACTACAGTTCAAGTCCTGGGTCTGGCACCTTGAAAGTCATGCCAGGTGCATGTGTGTGCCTGCCTGCCTGCCCACAATACCAGGAGAAGAATGGATGGAGGAGAAGATTGAAGCATGGCCATCCCCCTGGGGGATGATGTCTCACCTTCCCTCTCACTGTCTCTGTCTCTCCAGTGAGTGCACATGTTCTATGGCAAAAACCTTAAAAAAAATAATAAAAAGAATAACTAAAAACTTAACAGAAAAAAATGAAACACACTTAACTCAAAAAAATCAGGAAAAGAAGATAAAGAAACAAAAAATATGTGGGAAAACTAAAAAACAAATAACAAAATTAAACTCAAATATATAAGTAATTGTATTAAATATAACCTGACTAAGCACTCCACCTAAAAGGGAGACTATCAGATTGGATTAAAAACAACAGCCAGTGAATCAACAATATCCTGTTTATAAGTGACATGCTTTAAATATAAGGACACAGGTTACAAATACAAGGATGAGAAAAAAAAAAAGTCACACAAATACTAACCAAATTGCACCAAACAAAACAGGAGTTTTGCTTTTAGTAAAAATAGTAAATTATATCAGAAAAACAATCTCGAAGGTAGCAATTATACTCTGGATAAAATATAAAACACAGTAACTGGAAGGCACTGGCCAGCTAGCAAGAGGGAGATAGAAACTGGAGAATTAACATATGGAAGGAAACAGCAGTTTCTTCATTGAAGAAAAACTCCAACTGACGTTAAGAAAAAGTAACAAAATTAAGGGTGGAAATAGAGAAAACTATGGTCATTGTGGAGAGTTTAATCATCCCTCCCTCTCTTGTTAACTAATGGAACAACTTCAGGAAAAAAAAAATCAATAAGAATATAAAAAATTTGAACAATACTATATCTACCTGACCAAACTATCATTTATAGATCCTATTTCCAGTAATTAGAGAATGTACATTTAAGTCAGATAGTATGTTCTACAAAAGTAGGCCATAGGAGAGTAAAACAAATTTCAATGAATTTTCAAATATTTAAATCCTAAAGAGTATTTTACATGGCCACATACACACTACTGTCAGTTACGTGAGTTGCAAGTATTCTTTTCTCCACCCTGTGGTTTCTTTTCTCTCTTTTAATGTGTACTGATAGATCTTAAAATCTTCCTTTTAATGTAGCCAAATAAGTAAATCTTTATTCACTTTAATTATTGCTTTTGGTGCCTAGTTTTTGTTTTTGTTTTTTAAGAGAGATTTTTGTTATAGGGCACACATGCTTGCCAGAAAAACAGAGAGTTATAAAACAAGAAATCACCCCAGGGGAATGGCCATGCCCCAATTCCTTCTCCTCCATTCACCTCTCCAGATTTTGGGTACGCATGCACACGCGGCTAGTGTGAGTTTTAAGCCACCAGGTCTAGGACTCGAATTGGACAACTATGACTCAACTGGACGACTATGACTAAACTGGATGACTTACAGTGGACTACATGTAAGTCCAGCAACGTAACCATTATGCCAACTACTGGCCCTGGTGCCTAGTTTTAAAAACAATCCCTGCTCTGGGATCATGGAACCATTCCCTCGTATTTATCTTTAAAGCTTTATTATATTGTTTTTCATATTTATTTCTATGAGTCACCTAGAATTCTTTCTTTTTTTTTTTTTTTTTTGGAGAGGTTTTTGCTATAGTGCATGTGTGCTTGACAGAAAGACAGAGAGAGACAGAGAGACGGAAAGAGAGAAATCACCCCCTAGGGGGAATGGCCATGCAGCAATCCCTTCTCCTCCATTCTTCTCTCGGGATCTTGAGCACGCATGCACATGCGCCCGGTGTGAGTTTGAGCTACTGAGTCCGGGACTCGAACCATGGTCAACTATATGGGAGTCCAGTGACAGCCATTACACCAACTGCTGGTCCTAAGAATTCATTTTTTTACTATGGGGTGATAAGAGATTCTAATTTCATTTTTTACTCAGATGAATATCCAATTATTCCACTGTAATTAATTTTAAAAATCCATTTTTCTCAATGTCTGCAAAGTCCCTTTTCATAAATATGTCACCTGTACATGTATAGATCTGTTTCTGGCCTCTATTCTGTTCCAGTCTTATACCTTCATCCTCGTGCCCACACCACACTGCTTTAATTACTATAAGGTTTAACAAGTCCTGTCACCTGTTCTTCATCAATTAATACAGATAGAGCTATTTTCAGTCCTTTGCCAATCCATATAATTTTAGACTCCCTATAAATTTCTTTTTATTTTTGAGAAGTTTTTGATATAGGATGTGTGTGCTCTCCAGGAAGAGAGAGAGAGACAGAGAGACAGAAAGCGAGAAATTACCCTTGGTGGGGGGATGGCCACGCTACAATCCCTTTTCCTCCATTCTCCTCTCAGGATCTTGGGCATGCACACTACATGCCTGGTGTGAGTTTAAGCTACTAGATCCGGGACTCGAACCATGGTTGACTATGTGAAAATCCAGTGACATAGCCATTACGCTAATGCTGGTCCTTCTCTATAAATTTCTATACAAATACTTTTGTGATTTTGAATGGGTTTGCATGCAAATCAATTTAAGGAAAACTGGCACGTTTATATTTAAACTTTCAATAATGAACTCTCCTATCTTTATAATTAAGTCTTTCTGAAAAATGCTTTCACATTAAAGTTTTATAGCTATCTTCATAAAGGTTTTCTTTTTTAAAAAGAATTATTTATTTATTTATTTATTCCATTTGTTATTATTTTTTCATTTGACCAGAGAGAGAAAGGGAAAGCGAGAAAGCAAGTCACCAGGTCCGGATCTCGAACCGTGGTCAGACATGTGAGAATCCAGCACATTTAACCACATGCCACCTGCCAGTCCCTCCATAAAGGTTTTCACACCTTTTATTATATTTATTCCTCAGAATCTGATTTTTTTATGTTGTTATAATCCTTAAAAATGTTTTATTTTCTGTTTGGCATTGGAATATAGAATTATTATTGATTTTATATATTGATTTTTATATCCAACAACCTTGCTAAGCACTTATTAATATTTATAATTTATCCATAGGCTATTTTACATTTCCTACATATACAGTAATCCTATCTATAAACTCTGTAAGTTTTATTTCTTCTTTTCTACATTTCCATTTTCCTTTTCTTGTCTTTCTAGGCTATAGGTCTGGTCTTAATTTTTTTATTCTTGCATTATTCTTGCTGGGTTATGCTGGCCTCATAAAATGAGTTGGAAAATATTCCTTTGATTGTCTTTGGAATAGTTTGTGCAAAAATTGAGTATTTCTTCTTTAAATGTTCGATAAAACTTTCCACTAAAGCCAAATAAATCTATAATTTCTTTGATAGACAGTTTTTAATTACATATTCAAATTTTCTATGGTATAGGATTATTCTATTTCTCCTTATATCTATGTCTTAAAGCTGGATTTCTAGGAACTGTTCATTTCTCCCAAACTTTTTAAGGTCATTGGTAAAGTTGCTCTAATTCTGTTATTATCTGAAGGATGTTACACTGGAATGGAACAGTAACTTTTTTTTTTCTTTTTTTGGAGAGGTTTTTAGCTACAGGGCACGTGCGCTCGCCAGAAAGACAGAGAAAGACAGAGAGACAGAAAGCAAGAAATCACCCCCCAGGGGGAATGGCCACACCGCAATCCCTTCTCCTCCATTCCCCTCAATATCTCGGGCATGCACGCACACGGGCCCAGCATGAGTTTAAGCCACCGGGTCTGGGACACAAACTGCGGTCGACTACATAGGAGTCCAGCGACATAGCCATTACGCTAACTGCTGGTCCCTAGAACAGTAACTTTTCACATAAAACATAAGTCTTGATTTTCCTTTCAGTCTCAGAAGCTTATTTTGCTTTCTTATTTAAAACCACTGTCATAGAAATAAAATGACTTCAAAGTTGCTAGTAAGACCATTCATCTGTGTTCAAAAGTATCTAAGAATGATGGCTAACTGGAATTAAAGTTCTCTAAAGCTAGAATCACTACTTTGGTAGTCTGATTCAAGTTCAATCCTTCATTAAACAGAGTTACAAGATGTAAGGATGAGAGACTTTGCTGTCAAGATACTTGCTGCCTGCCTACTCCAGCTGCAGGGACAAAGTAGCAGGGTGTCACCGTGCAATGTGGAGCCATACTGGAGGCCTGGGTTCAGTTCCAGATTGCCTGGAACACGTGGGGCATGAACTTGGGCATGTCAGTGATATGGGCTGGCTAGAAGGCTAGGGCACGTAAGAGGTGTAGCGAGGTCTTGTTAGAGGTCTGTCTCTCTCTCTCACACACATGCAGACGAATGAAGAAAGGAAAAAGAGAGAGATAGAAAGAGAAGGAGAGAAGGAAGGAACAAACAAACGAATGAACTGAAACAAATACTTCCTGGAGGGAAAGACATTATGGTAAAAACCACATTCTCACGAAATATGTTCTATTCTGTGCATGATACAGCTGAGGATAAGATGCTGTACAAGGAGAAAGGAGAGGTACTCTTACTCTTTTAAGACTGAATTTTGCATGTTGGCAAAAATGGTAAAGTAGGAGGAATGAGGAAGCAGAGAGAGGCTAGATAAGATCACATCTGACTTACATGTCATACCTCGGAGTCTGTCTTCAGTGTATGTTGAAATAGTATCAGTTGCTTTTACATGATCTCATTCGCATTTTGGAAATCAAAAATTTCAGGTACTTACAAGATTAATAACTTCAATAATTTAGAATCATCTCAAATGTTTAACAAGATAAAAATCTATCATCTATAGAAATTTAGAAATTAAAGGTTAAAGACATGAAGCTGCCTATGGTTTCTCCTGCGTGACTGACAGAGATCAGGAGAAAAAGAGTTTAGCCAAACATCTGAATTTACACACCTGTAACAAGATGCTCCATAGGGACATTCAGGTCGGTCATCAGTGTCTTCTTGATTCATGACTGGCGAACCTCCGTAATCACTATCGCCAGGATGGCTGAAGTGTTGAAAATGGACAGGATTCTTCCTATGAGGGTGACAAATACACTGTCAGAAAAATAAGTTAATAGGGTATCTGGATGTTTAAGGAATACAACAGGAAACCAAGCACACCCATCTGATTATTCCAGAACATTGGCCACTGTCCCATATATCATTAAAAAAAGTTGATGATGTTTTATCAACACAGGCCTCTTGTGGTTAACAAAATAAATTTCTAGTGTCACATAGTGGCTCCCAAATATCAATAATTAATTTGCAAATGTTGATTTACATAGAATACATGTGCACATGATAAAAATATAATATAAATATCAAAAGCATGCATAACTTTTAAAGACTTCATGTGAATACATTACCCCTTGCTAAGATTAAAAAAAAAAAAAAAAACAAAAAAAAAACAGAACATTACCAACATTCTAGAAAGTCCTTAAATGTCCCCTTCCAATCATTAAACCTATTTTACTATCCAAAGGTAACTTAGTCAATTTTCACTCCCATTAGCAGGTTATTAGAGTTCCAGTTTTTCAACAACCTCACCAACATTTGGTGTCATCAGTTTTTTGTTTGTTGTTTATGTAGCATTTATAGGAAAGTTTAGCAAGCTCAGGACAGTATGCCAAATCTGGCCCACTGCATTTTTTTTTTTCTTTTGTGGTTTAAAAAAATAACATAAAGAGGACAAGCAGGTGAAGTAGTGATGAAGGCACTGGATCCCCCCGTGGCTGACCACAGTTCAAGTCCTGGACTGGGCTCTTGAGAATCATGCCGTGTGCACGTGTATCTGTCCAGAATCCCAAGAGGAGAATGGAAGAGAAGGGACTGCAGCATGGCCATCCCCACAGGGACAGGATTTCTCACTTTCCCTTTCTCTGTCTCCCTCCTATGGAAGAAAAAAAAAGTCTACTATCTTTTTTTTTTTTTTTTAAAGAGAAGTTTTTGCTATAAGGCATACATGCTTGCTGGAGAGACAGGGACAGAAAGCAAGAAATCACCTCGCTCCCCGCAGGGGGGATGGCCATGTCACAGTCCCTTCTCCTCCATTCTTCTCTTTGGATTTTGGGCACACACGCGCATGCACCTGGTGTGAGTTTTAAGCCATTGGGTTCAGGACTCGAACCACCGTTAACTATGTGGAAGTCCAGCAGCTTAATCATTACACCATCTACTGGTCCCAAGATTTACCATCTTAATCATTTCCAAGAGTACGGTTCAGTAGTGTTAACCATAGTCACATGCTATATAACCAACCCCCAGAATTTTTTCACCTTGTAAAATTAAAATTCTATATCCACGAAACAATTACTCTTCATTTACCCCTTCTCCCAGTTGCTGGTAATTGTCATTCTAATTTCTGTTTCTATGAATTTGATTATTCTTTACCCCATATAAGGAAAATCATACAGTATTTGTCTTTTTTGACTATTTCTTTGACTTAGCATAATGCTGTCAAGGTTCACTGATGCTGGAGCATGTGTCAGAATTTCTTTCCATTTTAAGGCTGAATAATTCCAGTCCTTAGCAAATTTTGCTTATCCACTCATCCATGACAGACATCTGGGTTGGTTTGTACTCTCGGCTATTATGAATAGTGTTGTTATAAATGGGTGTGCAGGTAAACCTTTGAGAATCATTTTGCATATAAACTCAGAAGAGAAATTGTAAATTAAATGCATATGATCATTTCAGTTTTCTGAGGAACACCCATACTGTTTTCCACAGTGGCTGCACCATTTTACATTCTATGAACAGTATACGAGGGCTCTTATTTCTCCACTTTCTCACAAACACTTATTATTTTCTGTTTCGCTTTAATAGTACCCCTAACAGGTATGAGGTAATATCTTACTGTGATTTCTCTCCTATTAGTCATGGTGACCTTCACAAGCATTTTCAAATGCGTTTTGGTCATTTGTGTATTTTCTTTAGAGAAAAGTCTGTTCAACTCCTTTCTACGTTTTTGAATTATGTTGTTTTCTAATTGCTGGAATCACAGGTGTTCTTTATATAGACCAAATAGTAACACTTTATCAGATATGATTTGCAAATATTTCTTCCTATCCCATAGGTTGCCTTTTTCTGTTTATCTTACCAATTGGTACACAGAAGTATCTAATTTTTAAGCATTTCAATTTGTCTATTTTCACTTTTGTTGCCTGAACTTTGATATTATATCCAAGGAAATTTTGTAAAATCCAATATCATAAACCTTTTCCCCTATGTTTTCTTCTGAGGGTTTTATAGTTTCAGTCCTATGTTTACGTCTTTGGTCCATTTTAAGTTAACTTTCAGCATACGGTAAGCATCATGCTATTGCTTAGATGTGGTTTGTCCCCCCAAAGATTCACGTGCTAGAAGCTTATTCCCAATAAATGTCACTGGGAGGTGGTGAGACCTTTAATATGTGAGTTCTATTAAGTGAGGTGTTGTTTGGCTCATGTAAGCATCACTCTCATGAATAAATTCATGCTGCCTCGAAGAGGGAATGAGTTCCCCCAAGCGTGGGCTATTATAAAAGAACCACCCCAAAAATTTCTCTGTTTTTCCACATGCACACTAACCTTCCAGCTTGTGTCCACCATGTTGTGACATAGGACCAGATGCCAGCTAGATGCTGGCCCATGTTCTAGAACTTTCCAGCCACTATGAGCCAAATAAACCTCTGTTCTTTATTAATCACCCAGTCTCAGGTATTTGTATTTAGCAACATAGTCTTTCATCTTTTCTCACACATGTATTTAAGGCTATCACTTTTCCTCTAACTCTGCTTTAGTTACAGTACACAAGTTTTGGTATTTCACATTTGTAGTATAAATTAGTTAACATATTTGATAATGTCATTGAGGTTTCTTTTCATTCATAGGTTATATTTAGAAGCAAACTGTTTAATTTCACAACAGTTAGGGATGTTTTTCATTCTACTTTGTTAATTTTTAGCTTAATTTCACTGTGCTCAGAAATACTCTCATTTTTGTATGATTTCAATCCTTATAAACTATGTTGAGATTTTAATTTTAATGGCTCACAGTAAGGTTTATCTGGGAAAGTTGCCTTAGTCATTTTTTCCCACTATAGTATAATACTTGACTGGGTAATTTATAAAGCCAAGAAGTTCATTTGAATCCAGTTGTGCATGCTGTAGTCCCAGCTACTCAGGAGGCTAAGGCAGAAGGATCTAGAGTTCAATGCCAGCCTGTGTAGTACAGTGAGAGCCTGACTCTTGAAGGAAAAGTAAACCTTTATTTGGTTCACAATTCTGGAGTCTGTGAAATTCAAGACTAAGGCCACAGCATCTGACAAAGGTCATCTCATAACAGAAGGGGAAATAAGCATGCAAGATAGAGACAGGATCAAGGTGAAATCATCTTTTGGAGTTCACTCCCAAGATAACCAATCCAGTCCGTGATTAATAGCATTTACCATTTATGAAGATTGAGGATACAAGTTTCTAATACATGAACTGACTCATTGGGGAGAACACTCCAGTCACAGCAGAACTCTTTCAAAGATACTTTTTAAAAATGTACTGGTCAGTTGTTCAGTATAGTATACTACACTAAATACTTGAATTAAGTCAAATTTGTGCATTGTTTTGTCCACACTTTCCACAACCTTACTAATTTTTAAATTTAGCCTATGACTTACAGTAAGAATATATTAAAATCTCCTGACACTATTTTAGATTTATTCACCTTTTAATTCTTGCTTTGTATGTTTTCATGTTGTACTATTAGGTGCATACAAATTTAGAATTTGCATATCATGATTATCTTATCATAATGAATGGCCCCTCTTTATCATTAGTAATGTTTCTAGTCTTAAACTTTGCCTGATATTAGCAGGCATATATCAAGCTCTTTTTTGATTATAGGTTTTTTAAGAGTTTATCTTTCATTTGTAAAATTTCAATTTTTATATGTCCTTATATTTAGGTGAGTCTTATAAGCATATTATAGATTTTTTTTAAATTCCTTTTCACACAGTGTGATAATATCTATTAATTGGAGGTACCTGATCTCTTTAAAGACAGTGCAACTATTGCTGCTCCTGGGTTTAACTCTACTATCTTACTATATTGTTTTCTTCCATTTATCCAACATGTTCTGTTTTTCCTTTTTTGTCTTTCTTGCCTTATTTTGAGTTGATTATAGTTTTTAAATTATTACATTTCTCCACTTCCATTAGTTTGCTAATTATACAATTACTCTTTTGCTTATTTCTGGGGGTTAGAAAATGTATCTTTATTAAAATCTGATACAAATTAGTGCTCTTGCAATTTCCCAGATATTGCAAAGCTTTAAACATTTTAATCACCGACCACTTTTGTGCTACTTTCATATATTTTAATTTCACATGCATTTTATATACTATAAAATTATAACCACTTTATGTAGTTAGTATTTATTTATATTTATACTCATATTTTCCCTCCTGAAAGTCTATGTTTCTAAACAGGGCCCCTCATGCTTGGCAAAGAATGAACTCCATTTTCATTGTCCAAGCCTCATGAGACTGCTGAAAACTCTTCATGGCCTCTTAGCCCTCAGTTTGAAACAGTAAAAATTCAGCCAATGCCACAAGGGAAAAAAGAAGTCTCAAACTCCTCCCTACTGCTGATGTTTTCAAAAGTGTATGTTAAGCTTTCACAGTGGTTCTCAGTGGGAAGTTTGATCTTGGACAAGTTTCTTCACCAGAGGTAAAAACTTGATCTTCCATACTACTGATTTTAAATAATTTATATGACTTTTTATAAATAAAAGCTACAAATTATAATTAAGGCATAAATTTCCTATGTGTTAATAAGAAACAATTCAACATATGCAGATTTTTAAAAACAGTTTACTAAGAGGCCAGCAGGTGGTATAGTGGTTAAGGCACTGAACGTCTACGTGGTTAACTATGGTTTGAGTCCTGGACCTGGTGGCTTGCTTTCTCATTTTCCCGTCCTCTCTCTCTCTCTCTCTCTCTCTCTCTTTCTCTCACTCTTTCTCTCCGTCTCTCTCTGGTGAGTGTGTATGCCCTGTAGCAAAGTAAAAAGAAATAATAATAATAAATAATATTAAATAATTATTTGGGGGGTAAAAATGTTTACTAATGGAACATGTGCTATTAAGCAAAAAAATTACATGACCCCCAAAGAGAAAAATCTTCAAAAAGTTTTTGTTCCTATAAACAAAGTTAAATGTTATTTTGTTGTTATTGTTTTTCACAAAGGATTGAAATAAGATGTAATTGCTTTAGAAATGTTGACTTTGAAGTACATGTGGATATAAGTGGTGAGTATTTAAATTTAAATTCAATGCAGAGGTCTCTGTTAGAGATACAGATGCTGTCAACAGCACGATATCAAGAAATTGAATAGAGTACTTCCAAGGAATAATATTTTACTGAGATAGAACATATAAATCATTATAAATCCCATATTTGATATTAAATATTATATCTAGGGAACCAGCAGTTAGCGTAATGGCTATGTCGCTGGATTCCCATGTAGTCGACCACGGTTCGTGTCCCGGACCCGGTGGCTTAAAAACTCACGCCGGGCGCGTGTGCGTGCGTGCCCAAGATCCTGAGAGTGCCCAAGATCCCAAGAGGAGAATGGAGGAGAAGGGATTGCGGCGTGACCATCCCCCCTGGGGGGTGATTTCTCGCTCTCTGTCTGTCTGGCGAGCACACGCGCCCTACAGTGAAAATCTCTCCAAAAAAAAAAATATATATATATTATATCTAATATCAAATTTTAAAATAGTATGAGGCTAAAAAAGGGATACAGAATAAGGGATAAGCAATTTAGGGGAGAATAGGCATATCTGAAACAAACTTCAACAGAAATTAGATGTGAGCATGATTTTAAGGCAGGGCAGGAGAAGACAAAGAGAACAGAAATCCCAAAGGGAATCAAACAGCAGTTGACCCAAAAAATTATAGCTCAGGGCCTTCTGGCCAGGCTAAGAAATCTGGACTTTAGTTGCTGAAAGATTCTGTACAAGAGAGTAATGTCAGTATTTTTTTCTCTCTCTTTTCTTCTTTCTCATTTCTGTTTTTATTTTCTTAGCCAATTCAATTAGGCAATGATGAGGAATGTAAACTTGGGGAAAAATGTGGGGATTCAGGAGATTAATCACTTGTCCCAGAGAAAGACAATGGTATAAACTATTGCATTAGCAATAGCATTGATGCTGGAGAAAAACTAAATCCTCGCAAGGTACATAAAAAACAAGAACTCAGCACATTATTTTCTCCCCTTTGTTACAAACATTTTCTTTTCAAGATTTCAGTGCTAGACATTTCTCAGGTATTAATTATGTATTCCAAAATTAGTAAAAATTAATTATTTATAAGCTAGGACTGATGAAAATGATCATATATCATGATCAAATATAAATAAATTCATTATGATCTTGATAAAGTATTCAATCACCTTTAACAAAGACAATAACAGTGCTGAACACTGTAATGGACTGAATTCTGTCCCCTCAACATTCATGTTGAAGCCTTACTCCACAATGTGACTGGATTTGAAGATAGGACCTTAAAGAGATGCTTGAGGTTAAATTAGGTCTTTAAGAGTGGGGCCCTAATACAATATGACTAGTGTCCTTATAGGATAAGGAAGAGACACCAAGGAGGTACACACAAAGAAAAGGCTCTGTGAGGACACAGCAAGAAAGTAGCCATTTGCTAACCAAAGAGTGAGGTCTCAGGAGAAGCCAAATTTACCAAGACCTTGATCTTGAACTTCCAACCTCCAAAACTGAAAGAAAATTAATTTCTGTTGGTTAAACCATCCAGTCTGTGGTATTTCACATGGCAGCCTTAGCAAACTAATACGAATTGCAAACAGGACTTTTCAGAATCCAAAATAATAGGAGGTTTATACACTTCGACTCATATTTATATTATATTCTAGATGTGGCACTAAAGCCACTACAAACAGTTAAAATTATAAATAAATGTAAAAATTAGAACTGTTAAAATTGAAAAATATGATTATTCAAGTTCTAAAATGGCAATGCATCTTAAAAGAAATAATATGTGCTAAAGTTTGAATATATCCTCTGAGAATTCATGTGCTGAGTCACTGAATGGGATTAAGAAGGTTAAAAACTTGATCCAGGGACCAGCAGGTGGTGTGGTGGTTAAGGGCGCTGGACTCCTGCATGGCCAAATGAGGTTCGAGTCCAGGACCTGGAGGCTTGCTTCCTCACTTTCCCTGTCTCTCTTGCTCTCTCTCTCTCTCTCTCTCTCTCTCCTTCTCTCTCATTCTGTCCCTCTCTGGTCAAATTAAAAAAAAAATTATCTAATTATTGTGATGAAGAGAGACAATTAGTGATTGGGAACAAATTAGTGATAGGGTGGTTAGGGCACGGCCCACATGATCAAGTCCTGGCAGGTTCATTAAGAGAGGAAATGAGGCAGGCAGAGAGCCACAGGGAACACACACCACACTCTCCTGCCCTCTGCCATGTTGTGACACAGACAGAAGAACCACACCAAAGAGGGTGCTGGATCCTGGACCTCTGCATTATAAGCTGAATAAACTTCTATTTTTAGAAATTGTCTAGTTTCAGATATTTCCCGTTATTAGTAATGGATCAAACTAGAATGATGTGAATGTGAAATTAACAGATTATGTGCTGTAATACACTGTTACATAGAAGACAATGAACTCTACTGGAATGCATTGGTAAAACAGTTGCTTTAACAAGCTGGAATGGCAAAGAAGTACTTCTAAAACAGGGCTGCATAATCATAAGCATGGTACTACAGTATAAAATCACAGATAAAACCAAGGATTGTAATTTGAATTCAGAAAATAGGAAATCAGGAAATACAGTACAATGTATTCAAACGAAATATGTATAGCAGCAACCAATCAATCCAGGAACTATATACTCATGTTTTCTTTGTTTTAAAGTTTTTGCTGTAAGAGCACATGTGCTCACCAAAGGGAGACAGAGAGAGACAGAGAGAAAGAGAGAGAAAGTAAGACATGAATCCCCCAAGGTGGATGGCCATACTGTAGTCCCTTGTCCATTCTCTTCTTGGGATTTTGGGGCATGCATGCACACATTCCCAGCATGTTTCTCAAGCTGCTAAGTCCAGGGCTTGAACCACAGAGTCAGATATGTGGGATCCAGCCTCCTTAACCACCAAGCCACCTGCTGGCTCCATACTCAACTGTTTTAAAAGATATCATAGTGATTCAAAGCACCTTTAGAAAAATATTAAGGGAAATGCACAAGTATAAGATACCTAAACACAACCTAAAATTTTCTTAACAGTTACACTGTATACAACAACTATTTATGAAGTCATCTTTCTTAATACGTAATAAAATATTACATAAGCAGGTATTTAGATCTGAGTAATTTAATTTTCAAGTCTGGGTTCTCCAGAAATCAGACACATGCATGAATCAGCATGTCTACATATAAAACATTCAATTTCCCACTGTATCTTAAAAGCCTCTTACAGAATTTGTTACGATGCACACTGAGAAAGTGCAAACCAGTAGAAACATGATAGTTTGTAATGTTCAGTCCCATGGATTTTCTTAGGCTTTAACCTACCATGGTATATATCTATCAATATATAGGTCGGGTCATCAGAAAAGTACATCATGACTTTCCCACAACCCAACACATGCCACTGAAATAGTGGAATTACATGCTACCTATAATTTTATTTTACCTATAGCAATTTGCTCCATACATGCAGGATGTCCTCTTGACCTTGTTGTCTTCAGGACCTTCTGGAACTGAATCAGTGGCCTTCGCATGCAAAGTCTCAAGATTGGAGGAATCAGAGCTAGACTCAGGATGAGATCCTTGAGACTCATCATTGGATGACTTGCCTTGGGCACTTGAAAAACTCTGAGAACCACTCATTGCCTCTTCTTTATCAGGTGCTCCTTTAGTGATGTTATTATGCTCAGAAACTTCACCAACTTTCTTTATTGAAATTTTGCTTCTTTTTGTTTTAGTCTTCGTATTCCCTTCTGGGTTACTTAATGTGTTTGGAGGTAATGACTGTGGCATTTCCTAAAAAGTAAATCAGATATAAACAAATCAGCTTTTAAAATATATAAATTTAAGCATAAAAGCATAAAATGATAAGATCCATGCAGTATGTATATTTTTAAAACTTCAAGATTTGTATTTTAAAGTTACTAAAAATACCACATAGGCCAGCAGGTAGTATGGTGGTTAAGGAGGCTGGATCCCACATGGCTGACTGTATAGTTTGAGTTATAGATTCTTGAAAAATATGCTGGGAGCAAGTGCATATCTGCCAAAATCCCAGAAAGAGAACTGAAGGAGGAGGGACAGTAGTGTGCCCCATGGCAGATGTTTTCTCATTTTCCCTCTCTCTCACTCTGTCTATGGTGAGTGCACACACCTGCTAACAAATTGAAAAACAAAAACAAAAAAATGCTATTTTCTATCTCTAGCTTAATAACTTTAGTTCGTAGTTATTAGAAAATAAATTTATAGTTATACTAAGTCTTCACAATTATGTCAAGCATTCAGTAAAAAAGTCAGAAAAAATATAAATCAAACATTAGAGAAAACATTTACTTTTAATATAATCTCTCCCCAAAAACAACTCTTGAATGTCATCATTACTCGACAATGTATCATGCTGTTGACATGCACTGTCCTTTTAATTTCTTATAAGTTACCGCAATACTTTATTTCTACTCTCTAAATACAATTGCGATTTTTCTACAACTGAATCATAAAACTATTCTGTCCTCAGAAAAAATTGCATGAAGTGATGTTATGACCAATTTAGAAAAAAAAATAAAGATTCCTTTGAAATGTTCTGAATACAAGTTTCAGTATAAATAAAGATATTTTGAACCAAGTGGTTACTCTCGTTAGCACTGCAGAATCCTTTAAATTTATTCTTAACAACAGCTTAAAGAGTAAGCCTAGTCTTATCCTGTTAAAAATGACCTCTTACTTACACTTTCTGTGGAGTAGAGACCTTGCTGAGATTAAACCCCTGTCCTCCAATAAGCATTTCTAGGATGTGATAACAACATACCAGATTCGCATGAACATTCACCTCCATTTATACCCTCAAGACTCATGGATGCTGGCTGCCATCTGGAAAAAGCTGCTTTTGATCTTACTTTCAATATCTAATACTTTGAATTTCTTAAGAATTGAATTACTTTGAATTTCTTTTGGACTAATTACTTCAGTGTTTTGATATTTTTTCTTTTTTTTAAAACACACAGTATTTAACATCACAATGCTATCCATACTGACTACAGACTTTGCAAGAAGAATCTACATCTTACAGCTCTCATGTAGCAGCAGATAACCTACGGAGAGAACAGTCATTTGGCTCTCTCCTATAGCTGAGCCTTGGTGGTGGCATTCATGCCACATTCCTCTAAAAACATACTTTATTTGCTTGTGTAAATCCAAATGAAAAAGCGTTAAAATCATATAAGCCTAAATCCTAATAAGGCAGTGGAACTGAAGGATGAAGCGAATCAAGGTCTTCACTCTTTACTCCACATACTTACGAATATTCCATATTTTTATAATAAGTATATATCATTTTACCATTTAAAAGTGAAAAACAAATCAAAGAAAATGTAAGAAATGAAATGTATAATATTGTATTTCAACTCCTCCCTCTACTTCCATAAAATATAAAGATTTGATTTATTTAAAAATTCTTTAAATCCTCACGAAGAGTACATTTAACATGTTAATTTAAAAGAGAGATGTTTAAGTCACAGATATCAATACTATGGATCAAGGGTTCTCAAATACACTTTAAGAGGTACAAAAGCTGGAATTCATAATGTTGTTTATGGAACTCCATGCAATATTGATATACAGTAGACCCTTGGCATTCAAGAATTTAACATTCATGGTTTTAATTATTTATAAATGATCCCAAAAATCCATTACATTCAGTAATTTGTAAGTTTGCTGAGACATAAATTTGTTCTGTGCCAATTACAAAGTTCAGAAGCTACAAGTCACCGAACTGGCAAGGGAAGAAATAGGAAAGATGGAGGTGCTCTGCATTTGGAAGAAGAATAAAGAGAGGGCGCTCTTATTCCCTAGGTAGCCCACACTGCTTATTTCTTAGATTAGATAAAATGTAAAGGATTAAATGTGAAAGGCTAGAGAGCCTTGATAGAGAGGTCAAATCTGACACAATGGTAAATACATGTTAGAGACCTCAGATCCCACACAGTGGTAAATACATGTTAGAGACCTCGGGGACAGAGGAACAGACTAGAAGGTGACCTTGATATTGGCAGGGGCTGAAGTATACTATTGGGACTACTGAAATAGTCATTAACTTGCCCAAGAAGTCCTCCTTATCCCCTCAGCTGCCAATGGAAATAACTAAGCTCTGTAGAAATAATAATTAATGCAGTTAATTCTAAGCATGAGATTGAGTGATCTGGTCCAAAGAAAGACCAAAGTGTTTCTCGGGATGCTCATATACAGTAGTTCTTTTTTATTTGGTTGTTTGGTTGGTTGTTTTAATGAGAGAGATTTTTGCTATAGGGCACATGCACTTGCTGGAGAGACAGAGACCGAGAGAGACAGGAAGTGTGAAATCACCCTTTGGGAGGATGGCCACCCCACAATCCCTTCTCTTACATTCTCTTCTCAGGATTTTGGGCATGTACATACATGTGCCTGGCATGACTTTCAAGGCACCAGGTCCAGGACTCGAACTGCAGTCAGCCATGTGGGAGTCCGGCCCCTTAGTCACTACGTCACCTGCTGACCCCCTTTTATTTGGTTTTTAAGAGAGAGAGCTGTCAATCAGTATAAGGAATCTAAGGAGCCTTTTACATTGGCCTGGCCCAAAAAAGTGGAACCTCAGGAAGAAGGGGTAGGTTACAGGTGACTGAAATTGTTAGGTCAGTGTTTGGAAAGGAAAACACAAGTCTCTGTTCCAGAAAATCAGCAAAAGAATGTCTGTGTTTTATTTTAACAGAGATAGAAGGCTTACTATGCATCACAAAGGTACTGTGCCCAGGCAGGATGTAGGGAATATCCAATTATCCCAGACCAACAAATGTGGTCTTAGTCTGTAGGCATGACTGTCCCCAGGTCTTAGAAAAGAATTCTGGAATAGGAAAAAAACTTTTGTCCTCACAACAATTAGAGCTGCTTTTGCTTTCACTATTTTGTTTATTAATGAGAGAGAAGAAGGTGGGTAAGGGAATCTAAAAGAAAGGGGAAGATGAGGAAGAGAGAGAGAGGTATTTTTGATAATGTCTCATGGTGTTTTGCAATCTTTCTGTCCTAGGCTCCCTGGTAGCTAGGATCATAGGCTTGCCCTACCACACCCAGCCTGTTTAGGCTGGGCTTGGAATCAACCCCCCGGGGCCTATCATGTGGCCTCAGGACCATGCAGCAGTACCCTCCCACTGCAGCTGAGTCTCAAATTTTAATGTACTGCAAAGGACAGAATTTAACTTTACCTAATACAAATCTGATGAGGCAATTTGTAGCTATTGTTTCCAAGGTGCCTTTGGGAGGAATGTCAGGGCTAAGCTACCTTGTAAATTCTGCATTAATTCCACTAGCACTCATATGCTAAGGACTAAACAATCCTAACCTCCAGCTCCAACTTCACTCTTGAGCTTCAAACACATATATTCAAGCACTAACTAGAAATTTCTACTTCAATATTTGTTTTAGTCTACTTGTGTTGCTATAACAGAATACCTGAAACTGAGCAATTTATAAAGAAAAGAGATTTGGCTTAAAATTCTGTTGACTGGAAAATCCAAAAGCCTGGTGCTGGCATTTGCCCAGTTCTGCTGAGGACCAGATACTGCTTCGTCTCACGGTAGAAAAGTGGAAAGGACAGCAGTTACATGCAAAGGGAAAAGGATGCAAGCAGGCCGGGCTTGCTTTGTAACAACTTGGTATCAAAGCTGCTAGTTAGTGAGCATGCGCTCCCCCACCCCACAACAAGGTATTAATCTGTTCATAAGGGATCCAGCCCCTCATCCCAAAGCACCTCCCAATGGGCCTCGCCTTCCAACCCTGCTGCACTAGGTGTCCAGTTCCACAATACGTTTCAGTGGGGACACTCAAACGATAGTGATAGCTTCTCTGTACCTCAAATGCAAAATGTCAAAACTGAAATCCTGCCTGTATACTCTAAATGTTGATTTCTGCCAACACGTTCATCCTAGCCAGAAAATTTGGAAGTCTGTATTTCACTCCTTTCATTCACTCCTCCCGATCAAGTTCTGCAGTTCTATTTCTCAAAAGTTTTTCTGATCCAATGCATGCTCGCCATCCTTAAAGTCACCACCCTACCTCAGATTCTCTTTATCTACTGACTGTATTAATGCCATAATCTCCTTTCTAATCTCTACTCTTAGCTTGTTCTCTTCCAATCTCTCCTCTACAGAGTTGCCAGGATTAGCCATGTGGCTCAAACATTTTGAGGTCTTCTCTGTATGAACTGGCCCCCACTTTCGGCTTCACCCTAACACTACTTTGCACCACCAACTGCAAGAACAATAGATCCCAGCGCATGATGTGTATCTCCTTTGCTCTCACACCTGCTGTTCCATCAACGTGGGACCCGGTAACTTTCTCTGACCAGGAGAATGTAATAGAAATGACACTGTGCCGGTCCTAGTCCTAGGCCTTAAAAAACCTCACAGCTTCTACTTTTTACTCTTGGGATTCAGCTGTCAGGTAAAGATCTGAGTCTAGACTATTTCATGGTAAGTGGAGGAAGCAGGCCCAGCCGCCTCCAGCCATTCTATCAGCTCTTGCTGAGGCACCATTCATGTGAGTGAAGCCAGGGAGCTCCAGCCTCAGCTAAGCTCCTAACTGAAACAGTTATCTTAAGCCATTTCTCTGCAGAGAGGAAGCATGCCTGAAGTTTCTTACCTGAAGCCATTTTCTCTCTTTTTTAAAATGCCCCCAATAAATAGGCCTCATTTTCATAAGTGTCCAGTGTGCAATGCATTTAAACCATTTTAGCAAGTTAGCAAAAACTGAAAGAGGGAAGAGAGCTATAAATGCTACAAATTAGTCCAGATATGAACTTGCGCAGGCTTTTAAGAACTACCCCAATCGAAGCCAACAGGTGGCATGGTGGTTAAGGCGCTGATTCCCACGTGGCCAACAGTGATTAGAGTCCGAGACCCAGTGAAAAGTCACAATAAATAAAGAGATAAATAAATTGGAGCTGGTAGGTGGCACAGGTTAAAACACTGGGCTCCCACATGGCCGACCGCAATTTGAGTCCCAGACCTTGTGACTTGCTTTCTCACTTTCTCGCTCTCTCTCTTTCTGATCAAATTGAGAAGTAATAATAATAAATTAAATATTTCTTTCTTAAAAAGAGACATAAGTAAGTAAATGTTAAGAAAAAAAAAAACCTACTTCATCATTTGTTCTCTTTATACTTGACAAGAAAAAGATGGTTTTCACCTGTAGTCTAAGAACGACCAATGGACTAAAAGAAGCCAGTTTCAGAGGTACCAAATTATGACCGGAGCAAGTGGTCTCCACTTTTTTTTTTTTCCAAATCTGAAAATTTATAAATTTAACAACATTGCTTTGCACATTGGCAATACTATATTAAAGATTAGTTTCAATAAGAAAAGAGAGAGAGAGAGAGAGAGAGAGAGAGAAAGAAAGAAAGAAAGAAAGAAAGAAAGAAAGAAAGGAAGGAAGAAAAAACTAGGATAGCTTTTAATCTTCATAAACTCAGTAATAAAAAGCAGGTTTGATTCCTCCTTGCTGCATACAGATCATTAATTCCTATACAGAATATCTGACAAATAAAGGAAATGATCAAATAATAAATTTTTTGAAATCACCTTGGAGGAAATGATAGACTCTTCCTGATCAGAATTTTTGTACTTTTTTCCTGTGTCTTGTTTTGCCAATGTACTTTTTGAACTTCCTGATAAAACTGATCTCTTTCTTCCTTGCTGTGATATGTTTTCTGAGGTTTTATCTTTCCAGAGTCCTTTTTTTCCACTTCCCTGAATTACATTACCTTAAACATACACAAACAAAAATATAAAGAAAAAAAGAAAATTATTTTGTTTCTTCAAATGTAAATAATACATATTAAAAGATAAAAGAGCAAGCAAAATTAAAGTTCCATTTTTAGTAACACCAACTTGAAAACCCTTATATGTACATTTCAAGAATTTTTAAGCAGCATGATAGCCAAGAGCATCAGTCTTTGAGGCTGCTGGGCTAAGATGCCAACGCAGATTCCACTCATTAACTGTGTTACCTCCCCTCTCTGAACTATGGTTTTGTTATCTGGAAAATGGGAAATATAGTAACACATGGAGTTATTAAGAGAAGGAAGGAGGAAAAATATGTAAATTTTCTAACAGAGTACCTTATACACATTAGCTATAAATTTATTTTTTTAATGTAGCATTGAACTTCTCTAACAAAAACCTGACACATAGATATTTAATGAACTGTACTTACTGACTACCAAACATTCACAGTGAGTTCAACTTACATAAACTTTTTTAAAATTTATTCATTTTACATTCATTCACTGTGTATCACTGCAGCATAAAAAATGAGTTTTCCCATCCAGAATACACTGCATATTGGCTCAATCAAAGATATTACCATACATACTATCTTCAACAAATAATTTTCCATTTCTTGTTTCTTATATATTTTATCCCCCCCCCTTGATTCCCTCCCTTTCACCCTCCACCACTTCCCACCAAGTATAGATAAGAACCTAAAATAATCCAAAAGGGACAGTCTACAAACTTTGTTGGTGAAAAAAAATAAGTCTTAATAACAATGGACATTGTATCTCATACTGTATTTAACCAAAGTTCAATACAGTTGGCAATTCTAGATCAGTATCATACTCTATTAACAAATTCATGTTTGAATTTTCAGGTAACATTGTCTGCATAGAAAATCCAAAAGTATCTACAGGAAAAGCTACCAGGGGGCTAACGATGCTGAACTTCCACATGGCCGACCATGGTTTGAGTCGTGGGCCCAGTGGCGTGAAAATCACATCAGGTGTACATGCATGTGCGCCTCAAATCCCAAGAGGAGAATGGAGGAAAAGGGAATGTGGTGTGGCCATCACCCTGCCCAGGGGCTGATTTCTCATTTTCTCTCTCTATGTCTCTCTCCAGAGAGTATATATGCCCTATGGGAAAAACCTTAAAAAAAAAAAAAAGAAAACAAAGCTACCAGAATACACACAGATTTAACAATTTAACAAAGGCATAGTAGACAACATAAATATACCAAAAAAAAAAAGGTATGTCTATATGCTGGTAACAAACAATAAAAAAAACTGAGATTTAAAAAATAATTCCATTTACAAATAGTACCAAAACATGAAATATTTAGGAATAAAGTTAGCAAAAGACATGTAGAATTTGTCAACTGAAAACTACAACACTGAAGAGAAAAATTAAAGACCTAAATAAAAACAGAATTACACACTTAAAAAGAATATTTCAGCCCAGTCAGTGGCATGGCAGTCAGGACAGCAGGATCCCACATGGCCAACTGTGCAGTTGGAGCCTGGGACCTGGAGGCTTGAAAAACACACTGGGCATGTGTGCACACATGCCCCAAATCCTACAAGGATGGAAGAACAGTGGAGAAAGGCCTGTAGTATGACCATCCCCTAGACTTTCTCTATCACCCTACCCCATTCTCTCCAGCAAACACATGCGCCCTCTGGCAACATTTTAAAAGTATACCTCAAAAATGAAGACTTTAAGAAATATGCAATAAGGCATCACTGCACACTATGGGAATAGCTAACATTTAAAAAACCTGCAATACCACATATTGGTGAAGATAAGTGGGAACTAGAACTCGTACATATTTCTAGGGCCTATATAAATGGTACAACTGCATTGGAAAAAAATTTGGCAGCATCTCAGAAAGTTAACAGTTCTGCTGTTTGATACTCATTCAAGAGACAGAGAAGCACAGGTCTACGATGTACTTGAGTAAGGGTGTTTAACATTTTTCACAATAGCAAAAACTAGAAACAATCCGAATATCCATCAACCAAGGTAGTGAATAAAATATATATTCAAACTACAGAATATTCATCAGCAATTAAAAGAAATAGTGTACATGTAAATCATAAAATTATCTCATATATTTTGCTGAGAAAAACAAGCACACAAGAGTATATACTGTAAAAATAATAAATGAGGGGTCAGCAGGTGGTGTAGTGGCTAAGGTACTGGACTTACACATGGCTGACAGTGGTTCGAGTCCCATATCAGGTGGCTTGAAAATAATGCTGGGATTATGTGCATGCATACCCCAAATCCCAGGAGGAGAATGGAGGAGAAGAGTGGCCATCCCCCATAGGGGGTGATTTCTCATTTCTCTCTCACTATCTCTCTCTGATAAGCAAACAGATCCTATGACAAAAACCTTAGAAATAAATAAATAAATAAATAAATAACTGACTTTAAAAAATAAACAAGAATGGCAGAATATTGTTAAATTGTTGAAGCTGTGAAATGAGTACATTCATTACATGTATTAATAATATCTGTATATGTTTATCATATGTAATATTCCTATTTGTTTTTGAGATTTCTCACATGTATAATTAAAAAAACAATGTTTAAATTTTGGAAATTATCCTATTTAGTCAGTTTTTATAGTATAATATTTCCTATACTTGGTCTTGGAGAACCATCCTGACTAACTTCACAAATTCCCTTCACATTAAACTACCCTGAGTAAATTTCTGCTACTTTCCAAAAAAGAAAATGTTTCCTGCAGGCGGCAGATAGTCTGACAGTTAAGGAGCTGGACTCTCACATGGCTGACCGTGGTTCGGCCTGGTGGCTTGCTTTCTCACTTTCCTGCTCTCTCTCTGTCTCTCTTTGGTCAAATTTTTAAAAAATAATAATAAGAAGAAATAAAATTAAATAAATAACTCTTAAAAACTAAAATGTGTCCTAAATAAGACAATGGCTAAACATCTTAAAATTCTTGAAGCAATGTGAATACCCAGCACACATCGTTCACCACTGTGACCTCTACTGCAACAGTGAACTACAACAGAACAGAAATCCATATTTGAATCCCCAGCATGCATGGCACTTTTGGGTTGGCCTTTTATCTTAGATATGACACTGACAGACTAATTTGAAAAATCTATATTGTCCTAAGTCTAACACATAAAATAATAGTGCTTTTAAATGGAAAAAAAAGTAATTAGCAAGATGGTAATTTTTGATAAATGGCATAAAATAACTCATGTTTTAAATTAGACTTCATGTATACATATAAAAAATTTTAGGCTAAGCCACATATTTATACAACCACTACTCTTATCTCCATAGAGTTTATAGTTTTTGTTCAGAAAAACTTTCAAATTCTGCTTAATTTTTTCTTAAAAGTCAGCAATAGCAAAAGCAAAAACCTACCTCCACTAATGATAGATATGGAAAGGTCTTGATCACTTAAATTTTCTAACATCCATGCTGGAAGAATTCTTTTCCTCTGGGCAAGGTTTGGCTGTTGCTTACTACATTCACCTGGAAAAGACTAAAAAAGCATCTATGTTTCAACTACTAAAGACAATCATGCATCCTTAATGAATTGCAAAATTATTTACTTTGCAGAAAATAGTCATTGAAATATCAATCTGCAATTGCAGCTTGAGTTAATCAAATTTTTTAACCAAAGAAAATTATCTCTATCAGTAAAAGTATTAGACCAGGGTGATGGTCTCTAAAGCTTAACTTAAAAACAGCAAAAGCATGTCAATGCAGGCAAGATTGTCATGATAAGCTTTAAGTCTAATCTGAAAGCCTTTTTCAGTTGTCTAACTCGAAAGCCATTTCATAAATAAATGAGATCTTAGATTTCTTACCATGCTATCTGTGTTAGTCGTCTGGGTCTTGGTTATTTCTGTGCTTCTTTCCAGCTGCGTGGCACCAGTTGTCTCATCAGATAAATTAATTGCAGGAGATTTTGGTGTTTCATTCAACAGATTATCTTCACTTGGCATTTGACTGTTTCTATAAAATAAAACAGAAATTTGTTTTTAATCACTTATATTTAAAACACTTCTGCTGGGACCAGCAGTTAGCATAATGGCTATGTTGCTGAACTCCCATGTAGTCAACCGCGGTTCGAGTCCTGGACCTGGTGGCTTAAACTCACGCCAGGCATATGTGCTTGTGTGCCCAAGATCCCGAGAAGAGGATGGAGGAGAAGGGATTGCGGTGTGGCCATCCCCCCTGGGGGGTGATTTGTCGCTTTCTATCTCTGTCTTTCTGGAGAGCACACGCGCCCTATAGCACTATAGCAAAAACCTCTCAAAAAAAAAAAAAAAAACACTTCTGCTATCAACCATGCATTCTAAACAGGATTTTTCTGAGTACATTTGATTAGTGAGTCATACTCCTTTTCTCAGATATAGCGAAAACAAACAAACAAACAAAAAACCACATTACAGCATACTAAAATGAACTGTATAGACACAATATGTTCTTTATCTTCTGCTTATGATATTCCTGTGAAACACATCAATCTTTTCAAGTCATGGGCCTAGAAACACAGCTAATTTTAAAAAGTAGGGCAACCATCTTTCTTGAGACTTGAGAGCTATTTACTTATTTAATATTATTCCAGATTGTCCCTAAAAGTTAAAATCACCACCCGGCATCCAAGGAGAAAATATAAACTGCAAGCTCATCGGCTGAGCTAGTTAGGCTCTTAGAGAAAAAACAAATAAAACCCTGAGCTCAAGTTTACACAGAGCTGCTACCAGAGTTGTAGCTGGCACAGCCACTGTGAAATCTCAGAAACTTGTGAGAGACTGGAAATTAAGTGTTGGTGCAGGAGCATCCTCGTCACCTGTGAACACACCAGCAGAGCCAATTACATCCTGTTCTGCAAAGTGCAGAAAGAGCATCCGAAGTTGTTGAGTCGTTATTGATTAAGAATGCATAGAGATGATCCAACATATTCATCTTTCTGTTAACTTGAAAATATAGATGAAACACTACTCAAAATGAAGAGATGAACTACTTACAGGTGCAACAACATAGATGAGTCTCTCAAGGCATTTAGCTAAGAGAAAGAAGCCAGACACCAAGAGTATACTGTATGATTCCACTTTTATAACGTCCTAAGAAGGTAAAACTACAGGGACAGAAATCAGATCACTGGTTGCCAAGGGTTGCGGACAGAGTGAAGGGAATGACTAAAAAGAGTTGTGAAGAAACATTTTAGGGAAATGGAATTGTTCTATATCTTATTGTGAGGCACTTAACAAATACATATTTGTCAAAGTGCACTGAGTTATATGTTTAAAAGTAGTGAATTCCATTATATTTAAATTATTCCCCCATTAAATATGAATTTTAAAAAACTGAAGACATGGGATCAGTAGATGGTATAATGGTTTTGTCGCTGGACTCCTGTGTAGTTTACCATGGTTCAAGTCCTGGATTTAAAACTCATGCCAGGCACGTGTGTATGTGTCCAAATTTCCAAGAGGAGAATGAAGGAGAAGGGACTGCAGCATGGCTATCCTCCCTGGGGGCTGATCTCTTGCTTTCTGTCTGTCTCTGGCAGTGCATGAGCCCTGTAGCAAAAATCTCTTAAAAAAAAAAAAAAAAAAAGACATAGATTTTTAAAATGCTTTTACCTCAGAAAAATCTAATTATGGCTTGCTTTATTTAGTATTTCTTACAAAAGGAATAATCGCCTTCAAAGGCAGACTTAAATTTCAAAGGCAGGAATCTGCCAAAAAAGGACAACTAACTTAGACAAGGTTATTACTATTTAGCACGTTAACATAAGTAAAATGAAAACATAAAGAAATGCAAATTAGAGCCGGCAGGTGGCATGGTGGTTGTGGTACTGGACTCCCACATGGCCCACTGCAGTTTGAGTCCCGAACCTGGTAGTTTGCTTTCTCACTATCCCTCTCTTTTTCTCTCTGGTCAAATTAAAAAATAATAATAATGATAATAAATAAAATTAAATAATTCTTTAAAAAGAAAAAGAAATGGGGACCAGCAGATGGCATAATGGTTACATTGCTAGACTGCCACATAGTCAACCAGTTCACATCCTAGACCTGGCAACTTAAAATTTACGCCAGGCATGTGTGCATGTATGCCCAAGATCCCGAGAGGAGACTGGAGGAGAAGAGTTTGCAGTGGGGCCATTCCTTCTGAGGGGTGATTTCTCACTTTCTCTCTTTCTGTCTCTCCAGCAAGTGCATGCAACCTACAGCAAAAATATCTCTTAAAAAAAAATAAAAAGAAGGACCCGCAGATGGCATAATCGTTACATCGCTAGGTATGTGTGCATGTATGCCCAAGATCCCGAGAGGAGACTGGAGGAGAAGAGTTTGCAGTGGGGCCATTCCTTCTGAGGGGTGATTTCTCACTTTCTCTCTTTCTGTCTCTCCAGCAAGTGCATGCAACCTACAGCAAAAATATCTCTTAAAAAAAAATAAAAAGAAGGACCCGCAGATGGCATAATCGTTACATCGCTAGGTTCCCATGTAGTCAGTTTACCATGGTTCAAGTCACAGACCTGGCAACTTAAAACTCACTCCAGGGGTGTGTACATATGTGCCCAAGATCCTGAAAGAAGAATGAAAAGGGATTGCAATGTAGCCATCTCCCCAGGGAATGATTTCTCAATTTCTGTCTTTCAGTCTCTGTCTGTCTCTCTGGAGAGTGTATGTGTCCTATAGCAAAAATCTCTCTAAAAAAAAAAAAATACAAACTTTATTACTTTGTTTTGTCATTCAAATCTTTTAAATTCACAACAGGTTAGAAGAAGCAAAACAGCATGACATAAGGGTCCCAACAACTGCCACAAAATACACAGACATTCTTTTCTATTCTTTTATAAATTTTACAATATTTTTAATATACAGATATGTACAGAGATTACAATATGTACATTTTAGCTATCTACCTATCTATGAATTTGAAAATTTGTGTATCCACTATCCAAAAGAAATAATTTGCCATATTTGCTCCAGATTAATTATAAGTATAATCAAAGCCCTCTCGATGCCCAGCCTCAGCCTCAATCTTACTCCTCTCCCTCCTACTCTTTCGGCAAAGGTAAGCACTAGCCTAAATATGATGTCTAGTATTTCCATGTCTGTCAATATGCAACTATTAAGGACAGGGTTTTTTTTTTTTTTTTGTCGTTTCAGTGTTTTTGGTTTTGTTTTTTGTTATACGCTTTTGTATATACTCTCCAGAGACAGACAGAGCGGGAAAAGGGGAAAGTGAGAAGGCATACCCCCCGCCAGAGGGGTAACCATGCTGCAATCCTTTCTCCTCCATTCTCTTCTTAGGAATTTAGGCACACACACATGTCCAGCTGTTTTTCAAGCTACCAGGTCTGGGACTTGAACTGTGCAACTGACTATGTGAGATCCAGTCACCTTAACCACAATGACACCTGGCTGGCCCAGGACAAGATCTTAATAGGAAGGAAGTCTCCATCTTTTCCTAGTTTTCTCATTTGGGGAGGGTTGTTATGGTTTTTCTTTTTAATCTAATCAGCTGTTGAATTTTGTCAAGATTATTTCTGAGATTCTATCGAAGTAATAGTTCTTTAATCTCTTATGGTAGACTGCATTGATTGACTTTTAAGTGATAAACTAACTTTGTATCCCATGGACAAGTCTCATTTGGTTACAATGTATTATCCTTTTTACATATTGCTGAATTTGATTTGTAACTATCTTGTTATTAGAAATATTCACCTGTGTTTTTTTTTTTTTTTCTCCTTACCTCTTTCCTAGTTTTGATATAAGGTTTACGGATGTTTCATAAAATGAATTCTAAAATATATCCTCTTCTATTTTGGGGTGAAAAAAAGGTGTAACATTGAACATTGGCATTATTCCTTCTTCACAAATTTAATAGAATTCACTAGTTAGGTTCCTTGTGGGAAACTCTTAAATTATGAGTTCAATTTTATAACATACGTAGGATCCATTCGATTTTGAATTTTTCCTTTATCAATTTTGGCAAGTTGTGTTTTTCAAGAAATGCATCCATTCATTTAAACTGTCATATTTATTGGCATAAACTTTAAATAATTCTTCATTATTCTTTTGAAGTCAGCAATGACAGCCCCTCTTCCTTTCCTGATATTGATTGTTTATGTTTTCTCTTTATCTCTCTCTCTCTCTCTCTCTCTCTCTCTCTCTTTTTAACCATGGTAAGCCTTACTAAGGTTTTATCAATTATGCTAATCTTTTAAAAAAAAAACAACCTACGCCTTTGATGATTTTTCTTTTTGTCTATTTTCTACTTCATTGTTTTTCCAGTCTTTATTATTATTATTATTTCTCTCCTTTTACTTTGAGATTAATCTGTTCCTTTTTCTCTATCAATTTAAAGTGTAAGCATAAATCACTGATTTTATAGCTTTCTTCTCTTCTAATATAGACATTCAACTATATATTTCCCTCTAAGGACTAATTTAGCTCCATCTCACAAATTTTCAATATCACTCTGGTTAAAATGTTTTCTAAATTTCCCTTGTGAATTCTCTTTGACCCAGGGATTATTTAGAAGTACATTACTTTATTTCAAAATATTTGAAGATTTTTATGGGTACAATTTCTAGTGATTTCTGATTTACTATCATTGCAGTTATTCAAGAATATACTCTATAACTTTGTCCATCTCCTTCTATGGGTCTTATTTAAGTATTCTATAATTTAATAGCTGAAACAAAGCCAAATAATTTTCTAAAGACTGGTTTTAAGAACTAGTGATGAATTTTAACTTTATACCAGATATGAGTATATTTGTTCTAATACTTTGTTTCCTAAGTATCTCTATTTTATGTTTTCTGTTACTTTCGTAAGACTGAGGAGTCATATAAGTGTAATCTAAGTCAGAGGTTGATACTTTTATAACACTGTGAAAGTTAAATAATGAATGAGGACACTGGAGCCAATTTCAAATTCACTACTTTGGTTACTACTAGATGAAAAATACATTTTGAATACAATGATTAATGACACCACATATGAGAACAATCACTATTGAAATATAAGTCTCCAAAGTCAAATGTTTTCTAGAAACATGTGCATTCCCATGTGCACAGCTGTGTGTGTACACCCCCCCCCATGTAGTTAATACATCTCCAATACAACCCAGTCTTAGAATGGTTTCTACCAAGAACACGATATCATTACCTACTCTCATTTCATCAGGCAAACTTACCTCAAGGTACATTCCAATTCTGTCTCAGAGCATGTGGAAAAAACACGGAAAATATATTTGTCAACTAACAAAGAAAACCTATCTCCAGGATTCAAACAGTGCCATAAATTTGTCTTCAATGGTAAGAGTCGGCTCTTCTCGGAAGACTGATAAAAACATGGGTTTGTGTGTATCTAACAACAACAAAAAAAACATGGTGATTTAGAACTTGAAATTATGACCAAAATACAATTAAATATGAACTTATCCAGAATTTTGGTATCAAAATAATTTAAGTACACACTTAGACTTAAAAGTTTAATAAACTTAGCACTAATAAGTATTATCATTTATACACAGAAGAAAAACTATCTCTCATTTCTCTAGAAATCAAAAAGAAAAAGAAAAATTATCAGTTAACCAACTCCCAGAATGGAAATTTACAGCATGTTATACACCATTACATTTCTTGTATTTACATTTATCCATTGTTATCTGTAACATAAATTTAGCTAGTTCAGTGTTACTCTTACCCCTATGATTTTTCAAGAATAGTTCTGAGCACCTTTTCCTTTCACATGACATTTATGACCATTTGTGTTTTTACTGTAACATTGACTGGTGTTAACTCAGACATGTGACATATACTGATAGATTAAAAGAAGCTAAAAAACAGACAAAACAAAACAAAACAAAAAGGGACCAGCAGTTAGCGTAATGGCTATGTTGCTGGACGCCCATGTAGTTGACCGTGGTTCGAGTCCCGGACCCGGTGGCTTAAACTCACGCCGAGTGCATGTGTGTCCTGCACAAAATCCCGAGAGGAGAATGGAGAAGGGGTTGCGGCATGGTCCCCCCCCCTAGGGAGTGATTTCTCGCTTTCTGTGTCTCTGTCTCTCTCTCTCTGTCTTTCTGGCAAGTGCACATGCCCTATAGCAAAATCCTCTCCAAAAAAAAAAAAAGGAAAAAAAAAAAAGCTACAACATATTTCCTTTAAGCTATACTTTTAAGAAAACAATCTAAACATCTGTATTATCTTAACAGATAACATTATTAGAAGTTTTCCCATTTAACCTGTTACATTGTGTTCCTTGAGCAAACCTTTCCATCTCTTAAGATTTTTTGCTTGATACTCTGGTCCCTGTTGCATTCTTGTTACATTGTCTAAATCAAGTGGCTTAAGTTTCCTCTTCTAAGCAAACAGGCTTATTTATGACCTTATTTGTTATAACAGTTACAGACAGCCTTACTTACAGAACTTATAAGCACCAGTTAACCTTTAAAATATATGAAAGAGGAATAAAGCAAAAAACAGGGTTAAAAATTGCTTTTTCCTGTTATACCCTCATCATCCTTCCCTCTATTTCATTAGTTTAACTGAGACTTTTTCTGGAAACATTAACAACCTCTCCAGCACACCCAAGGTAATTACCACCTTGGAATTGTACATATACTAAACAACAACAACAAAAAACTCATTTCTGAAGCTAGAATAAACAATCTAACTAGTTCAGACAATTTAATTTCATGAGAATCTGGCCATTAGTCATTTCTTAGATATTTGCTACAGGAAACATTTCTATCCTTTAAATATGTTATAAGAAAGCAATAAAATAACACATGGTGATGAAGCATAGAAGTACAAATTAAAAACAGAAGTTATACAAATTTGATAGGCCATAATTTTATTGGTCAGAGTCATTTTTCAATCTATGTAGGACTGCATGAGAATGGAAATTCAGTATAATTTATGTCACAACAGACTCCTAAAAAGAAGTCATGAGTGTTCTTTCCTTGAGTATGCCTTGGTCATCATAGTCATGAATGATGGGTTCACAGGAGAGACCAGAGTCGAATAGGAATATACTGAATATGTGGCTTTTGTCTGAACATCCTTCTGCTTCGATTGCCAGAGAGTACGTACACTCTAAGGGTTGGCGAGGAGATAGAAAGCACTTCCCAGCAGGGTGTGGTTTCTGCAGTCCTCTCTTAGACGTTCTGCCTTTCCAGCAGAACTTGGGAGATAGGTGCCTAGCATGCTCGTCAAGCTACCAGGACCAAGATTCAGACCACCCTTGGCCATGTGGGATCTGGCTCCCTCAACCACTGTGCTATGGAGCCAGTCCCCTGAATATTCTTTTTTTTTGGAGAGGTTTTTCCTATAGGGCACGTGCGCTCGCCAGACAGACAGAGAGAGACAGAGAGACAGAAAGTGAGAAATCACCCCCCAGGGGGGACGGCCACGCTGCAATCCCTTCTCCTCCATTCTCCTCTCGGGATCTTGGGCACACACGCACACATGCCCGGCGTGAGTTTTTTAAGCCACCGGGTCCGGGACGCGAACCGCAGTCGACTACGTGGGAATCCAATGACATAGCCATTACACTAACTGCTGGTCTCCCCTGAATATTCTTTAAAGGAGATTTGCTTTTTGTTACAAACTAAGCTAAGATCATGCGTTTATGTATAAGCATTTTAAAAATTCAGATGAGTCTCTAAACAACATTAAATACTGATATAATCCTGAGCTTACAAAAACTAGAATGTTAAATTAAAAGGCATGATACTGAAAGAAAAGGTAATTTATTTTCTTTACAAAGGAATCACAAACTTAAAGATCAAGAAACATTTCATTAGAGTATGTTTTCCTCAGCTAAAATTACTTAATATTTAAGTTATAGTTGGTTTAATAGAAGGTAGCATATCTAGCCATAAAGAAAATGAACCAATGTGTATAGTCTATAATCATCTTTTCCTTTTTAAAAACTGTTCATACAGTATATTCCAGAATTAAGAGCAAAAATGACATTCCTAGAAATTCTAATGTTTGATCCTTTAACTTAAACACATTGAATAAGTTTAAAAATTTCTATGTCAAACTTTATAAATACACTCCAACTAAAACACCACATGTATATAAACCCCAAAAAGTAGTTTTTAAAAAGTTATGAAACATACAAAAATGTAGCAATATTAGTAAGCAAAAAGAGAAAGACATACATGCAAAAAACTTAGGGAAAAAATGATAAATAAAATAAGGCTTTTGAAAAATAATAGCACACTACAAGTATTTCATACCAATATATTTGTAAATATTGCCCAAATCAACAATTATATGAAAGAATATACACTAAACTGGCTTTAAGAAAATATATTTATGTGTATGTATGTGTGGCTTGTTTAAAAGTAATTATACAAAAAAAAATTATCGAATTGGATGTCATAATATTTTAGAAATACAATCAATAATTAAAAATCCTTCCAAACTCTCCCGAAACCAGATACAAGTATATTAAAAGATAAGTCTGAATATTCAAACTCTTCCTGACACTTAGTAAGATGGAAGAATTCCTAATTTCTTCAATGAGATAAGTTTAACTTTGATTCAAAAAGCAGATAACAGCAGACAAAATATTGGCAAACCCAAACCCACAGTGAATAAAAGATGTACATTGCCCATATGAGAGACATATCATTGGTGTTGCCTTTTAACATATCAAAGGATTATAAATGCAAACGTAAATCTATTTGCTATAACTTCTGAAGTGGTGCAAAGGATGCATTATCCCTGAAGAAACAGAACTAAAATGCAAATCAATTTTCTATAGCTTTCTCTTGGTGTTATCATTAAATATTAAAGAATGATTGATGTGTACCCAAAAAAGAGGCTCTTTTTATTTTCAGTATTTTTTAAATTTAAAAACCACGTTTCCTTTTCTTTTTTATTTTATTTTTTGTAAAATGAGGAAAGGCTATGACAGTAGTCTACAAATACTTTACATATATTTTACAAGTAATTTTATAGGAAGAAAAAACTCAGGGATTTAGTGCAATTGAAAAAAAACACACAATCATTTCAAGATGTATGTTTTGAAGATCAATATACCAAACTCTTCTCTTTTTTTTTTTTTGCAATTTATACGTATTTATAAAACTACAGCCTTAATCATCCAAGAGCCAAAATGAGTAAGATTTTAATAAAATGAAATAAAAGCACTGACAGCTATGAATATACCCTGAGGACATAACCAACCACTGATGACACAGTCAGTTTCAGAGAACATTATCAGTTTGCCTTTATAATGCATTTTCTCCTGCTGACACTAGACTGTAGATTAAATTTAAATGATACATTAAAAAGCTAACATCATCTCCCTCCTCGTGAGCTAACATCATCTCATGCACTATTTCCAAGAACTACTGGAGAGCTAGACCATTTCTGAAAGGAGAAATGTTAGAGGGGAAAAAAGGTAGAAATTCATCCAATTTAAAAAGATGCAATCAGCAAATGCCCTAGTAGTATTCAACTATCACCGTCTGAGGTATTTTTTAATTGTGTAGTAGGTTTGGATTTCCAGGTGGAAGGAAAGCAGAAAACATTTAGTCATTTAAATATACTTCGGTGTATACCACATACAAAAGGATCATCATAACAAAACATTTGCTGTATTTATTTACATTCTCTTACAAAGTTTTTTTTTTCTTAATCAAAATTTGCTTCTGAACATTTTATTACAACTATATATATATATATATATTTATCTTGCTTTAGGAGATAAAAAAAAAAAGTATGACTGCTTAAGAAACAAACAATAAATGATATTTTATATACAATAACATAAAATTAATGAAGTAGAAATCAGCTATCTGATTCTCATTATTTTCAAGATCTTAAAACTTTCAACAGCTAAAGTCAGTTTTAGAATTTCTCTAAATTACACTTTGTAGATGCAGTAGCTAAATACATAAATTAATCTATTTCAAGGGGATAGTGTTTTATTTTAAAACTCTCTTAACATAAACAAGAAATCGAGTATTACATACGGCAAAGGACCTAAATACTGGGTTGTCAGAAAAGTTGTGATGTATACTTGCTATGGTTTTCTATGCAGAAACGAGTCATGACCTTTTCTGGCAACCCAATACATACATCATCAAGTCTAAGATACGGTTTTCTTTCAAATAGTATCATGTCAATATAATTCTTGAAATAAAATTCAAACTTTAGTTAAATATTTCTCTAAAAAAGCAATCAAATTCTAGTACTAGAGTTATATATTTCCTTAAAAATAAAAACAACTTACATCTTTGGATGTTTGGTAATTTAGCATTACCGAAGTAACTACAGCTTATTGTACCATCCTTTATACTTTCTCTGTCATAAATGTTCCATACTTTTATTTTTAGATTTTGC